TGATGATTTCCGCTGCTTTGATTGCTCGAATCTGATAGGCCTGTCCAGGGTGGTCTGATGGTGTTTTTAAGCGATATAGACCAGCTTGGTTGTCCGAATATATCTTGAATTTGTTGCCAATACAGGCAATTGTGCTAGCATATTCAATAGCTCTAGTAACCCCGTAAAGCTCTCCATTATACACTAGTTGATTGCTACCAATATTCAATTGTTGTTGATATGAAATTCGATTGTTTGGTTGTATTGCGATTATACCTACACCTATACCTATTCCTTTTTCAGTAGAAGAGGCATCAGTATAAATGTAGGTAGTATCCTTATCTCTGTGATTGAAAACGATATTGTGAAGAATAGCAGTATCTTCTTTTGATGAATTGCTAATATTAACTCTGAAGGGAATTTCCTTTTTCCATGGGGGGAAGTTGAAGTGAATAATCTTTTCAAGTGAAATAGGATTGAGATCCTGATTTATTGATCCTCTAATTCTATCAAGTTGGATTGATTTATATCGTTTTCTTTGAGGAGTAGGGATTACTTCCAAATCGGTTTGATATTGAGCTGATATTTCTTTTTCGATATTGATTGGATGGTTTGGCGAGAGTTTAGCTAGACGAAACGCGTATTGCCTAACATTTGAATCTAATCGAATTTTTGGGGGCTTTAGGCCTGCTTCTACTTCCATTGGAAGGATTGGGGCTGTTTTGAAGACTCCTAATATCTTTCGAAGAGCTAGGTTTTGAAGCGATTGCATTATATTCTTGAAATGAGTTTGACCTCTCCACCAAATCACTGATCCGTAATCAGCTATACTGGTTACACATGCTATATATAATTGTCTAAGGGCTTTAGGATTAAGGCCCTTTTCGGTGTTAGCTAATCGAGCCATTCGATGGAAGGCACCTTTCGCTTGTGTGATTCGAATATTAACATGTTGATCGAATTTGAGGTTCGGGTCGAACCATATTCCCAGCCATCTAATGAGAGATTGGGGTACAATTATTTCCGAATTGGGTAGCGTGATTGGATATTTTTTCGTCAATTTGGATGATGAAAAGTGCATTAGCTCTGTTTTTGCCAAATCGAATTGGATTGCATTTCTAGAACTGAGTTCATAGATTTGTTTTGTAACTCTCTCTAGGGTTTTGATATTCTTTTTCCATGTAGATGAATGTGTGATTAAAGCAATATCATCTATATAGGAAAGAAACTTGATCGAATTGGGTAAAAAGAGCTCCCTGATATATATAAGGAAGAGAATTGGAGAAATCGGGCTGCCTTGTGGTATTCCGGTCGAAATTGGCTTGAAAGATTCGATTTGATTATTAAAAGATAGTTTCAATTGTCTTTGTTGAAGAAATGAGGCTATCCAGGCTATCAGATTTGTGGGCAGTTTTAGCTTCTTACAAATATCTAATAGTCGATTTCTCGAAACGTGATCGAATGCTCCCTTTATATCCATAAATAATATTGAGGTCTTTTTACTGGCTTGCTTGTTTCTTTCAATTTCTGTAGTCAGTAAAAGTGCAGCATCGATTGCTGATTTCTTTTGGCGTCCTCCCATTTGACTCTTGTGAAGGAGATGGGTTGTTTCCGCTAAATATCCTAATCGTTGAGCTAGAATCCTTTCGCTTATTTTACCCAGGCAATTTAAGAGTGCAATTACTCTATATGCTTTTGGAAGGGAATAATCTGGTTTGGAAGCTTTCTTCAGAATAGCTCCTGTGGCTTGTTTCCAACATTTCGGGTGATATCCTAGATTAATAAGTTTACTAAAGAGAGTAAAAAAGGTTTGTGGGATTGCTTTGTAAGCCTTTATAATGATCTCTTGAGTGATTCCATCTGGGCCAGGGGTTTTTCCTTGGATTTTGACTGAACAGGCATTGCTTAATTCGATTTGAGTAAGATTAGGCCATTCCCATTGCTTGGATTGTTTATACCCTTCCCATTGTGGTTTTGGGGTAATAGGAGGGGGTGGGAACAGAGTTGATCTGAAAGCAGAGCATTTTCCTTCGAAAGAGCTTTCTGTTGCAATATCCGGTATCCTTTGATCTTGAAAGTCTTTAGTATAGGCCATTGCTTTGAAAATTGTCTTTGTGTCCTCCTTTTCTAGAAACTTATTCCAATGATCCTTCTTTGCTGTTTTAATAGCTTGAAAGTACTTGTTTCTAGCGATTCGATATCCTTCCTTAGAGCTATGATTCTCCAGATCTGATTCAATTCTTTGCTTTGCTTCTCTTAGCTCTTTTCGGAGATCTTTCAATTCAGGTGTCCACCATGGTTTGGCCCTTTTGATTGAAACAATTTTAGGTATACACCTTTCTATTGCTTTTTGAATGATCCTAGTAAGTTCGCTTGCTGCTTGATCTAGAGTTAGATAGTGATTGTCTTTGTTTTTCAAAAGGTTTAAGGAATCCTCTTTGGTTGGAAGGATTAATTCTAAATTCGACAGAATAGGGGAATATAAGGATTCCGATTTGAGTATTGATTCGAACTTTTCCCAATTCGCTAGCTTAGTATTGTATCTAGCTATCGATCCAGTATTAGAAGTACTTAGATCTTCTTTTCCTTTTAATTCGAATAGTATTCCTGCATGATCGGATCCTGTATCTGAAAGCGTTTGCCAATTGTGAATTTGAGGAGAGATTCCCTCTGATGCTAGCGTTAGATCAAGAACACTTGGATTAAGGAGATTAGTTCGATAGAAAGTGCTGATTCCGGGCTCGTTTAAAAGAATGAGATTCTGATCTTCAAACCATTCAGCTAATTGATCAGCGTTTCCGCTTTTCTTCGAAAAAGGATCCCACCATGGGTGATGGGCATTGAAGTCGCCTAAAAGGATGGTTTCTTGTGTGATAGATATATTATACAAGCACCTTTCGATTGTGAAACCTTTCTCTTTAGCTTGATCAGCTTCGTTGTATATATTGATGATTTGAAAGGTTTTGTTTCCATTTTGACAATTGAAAATCTGTATATCAGAATCTATTGGAGAATCGGAAGCTAGATTGATTGTAGCTTGAAGAGTTTTTGATGTGTATAGTAGTGTACGTGGCCGGTAATTAGGATTGAGTCTTGGTAATGTTTGTGTGAAATTGGAGTGTATAATAGATCTTGAATTTGAGTAATCGATTCCGTTTTTAATAATCCAAGGTTCTTGAATCATAATGAGGTCGATGTTAAGTTCTATTGCAAGCTGTAGAACGTTCTCTGTAGCTTGTGAACTCCGATTGAGATTTATTTGAAGGATTCGAATATTAGTGTGACTCATTAATGAGTAGTATTCGATTTTTGTTGAATAGCCTGATAGGTTTCGCATGTTTTCGAATTTGCTGCATGATTCCCTTGGCAATTCGAGCATTTTACTTCTAAGTGTTGACAGAACTTTCCTCTGATATTACATACCATACACAAGTGTACTGATGTAATGTGCTTGCCTCCACATAATCCACAGGAAGGGTTCCTTCTACAATAGGCATCCTGATGCCCAAATCCTTGACATTTCTGACATTGTGTAGTTGGTTTTGATTCGTAGAATTGTTCTACTCTTATACTACTTCCAGCAATATATAATCGCTTTCGAATAGCTAATTCTGCTTCTGATTTTGTAGCAAAAGCAATAACGATAGCACCCTCTCGTTGATGGGCTCTTCTGGGGGCGGGTGTAAGCCAAAAGGGGGTTCCTATAGGCTTGAAGTCTGGATTGAAGGTTTTGATTTCGTCGAGTATAAGATCCATTCCTTTTGTGCCTGAGAATTCTTTAATTGGGATTTTGTGAATAATGACTTTGTGCCATTCTTGATCCTTTTGGATTCTTTCGAATTTGATAATATTACTCCAAATCGCTTTCTTCTCCAATAAGAATTGTGATGTAAAGGGATCATTTGTTGTGATAATGATATTATTATTGAAGGATATAGTTGCTGCTGCAATGACTGGCCCTTTGATTCCGATCTTTTGAAAGGCTTCATTTATTTTGTTTCGGATAATTAGAGGGGAAAAGGAGGTAGGGTTTGGAAAATCTGGCTTGATTAAGATAATTCGTTTTTGGATGAGGTTAGATTTCTTTTCTATATTAGTAGATGTAATGTTTTTCCCTTTGGGGACTAAATTCCATTCTCCTTTTTTTGAAATATCAGCGTATGTTGGTTTCAATGTAGTGGTAGTAGCAGTAGTGGGCGGAAGAGGTTTAGCTAATGCTTTCGCTTGTGATTCGATTTTGCGTGTAGCGGTTTCCAAATGGGTGATTTGAGAGGTGATGATATTCGAAGCTGTAGTAAGCTTCCCCTTTTCAGTATATTCTCTAAAGATCTCTAGGAGATCTAAGAGCTTGGATTGTTCTTCGCGTGATTGGGAGAGAGAGGAAGCTAGCACTATAAGGTCTCTAGCTTTCAAAATAGCTTCCTTGGGTGTGTTTGGGTTGTTTTGGATTCTAGGTTGTTTGTTCTGATTGCTAAGGGGTATTGTAGGGCCCCGTTTCTTATTCTGATTGAATATATAGGTAGTATTGGTTGTATCTTGAGTAATAAAGGGGTCACTAAGTAGATTGAATTCTTCAAATCTTCTTCCAGAACTGGCTGGCTGGTTGGTTGATAGGATAGGGCTAGAGATTTCGAATTGAGGGTTTTCAGAAGGCGGGGGAGGGCTTGAAGATATTGGGGTACCTAGGACAACAGTAGGATAAGTGTTTGGTATAATGGAGGCTTCAGAAGGAGCCTCCATCATGGCCGTATCCCTAAATGTTGATGGATTGTTAAGAGAGCTCATATTGAGGATCTAGTTCTTATTCTGGTAGTTCGGAGTGAGAAAATTTTACGCGAATTTTCGTGTATGTTTCGTGTTCGGAGCGCCGACGACAGTAGCACAACAACTACTGGTCAGAATCACTGGGGGGCAATTGCAATCAATTTGGTTTAATAACTATGATCTAAATCGATCGCGAACGGGTCGTATTTCGAAGAAAAAGTTTCCTTCGAAATTTGTTGTGTGTGTAGTGAACATTAAAGTACCTAGGCACTTTCAACAAATGCGGGCAATCCTGCTCTCAAAATCTACTTTCGCGTCCACTTAAAGGTTTCGACTCACCTTCATATTCAAAACCTAAACTCCGCTTCTTTTCTGCCATCCTCTTCCAACAACATTCTTCCTCAAGGTCGTTTCAAAATAAGTGAAATCAAACAACACACAATGCTGTCAGATGATAATTCCAGACATCTTCTGTATGTTTGCGCAGGCCTCAGTACGTTCACAGCCTACAAGCACACATCTCTAGGCTTCAGTGATCTTTTCCCCAAAATTGATCGCGGACTCGGCTCTTCAGAGCTTCTGACGGCCTTCTCCGCAAAAAGCAATTTCCTGCAGGTTGGCGCTTCTTGGGCTCTCATCGGTATGTTAATCTTTTCCCACCCCACTTCAATTCAAGATTTGCTTCAGAGAGCTGCCCAAATTTTACACAAGGATTTGATTATAGAACATCGGCATATAACTGAGGCTTAAATAGGAATCCTCCAGCTCAAATGGGCCAAGTATGGTTTGAATACTGGCTATGATAAGGCAATTCTTGGATGGTATGGAGCTTATTCTTTCGCGTTTGGATTGGGTAGCTTCTTGAAAGGCGTGTATGTACCTCTGGTTCCTGTTTGGCTTATCCCCGCACTCACTGTGCTAAGCCAATTCTGAAATGGGCGATAATGTTAGAAGTAAAGTTTTTCAGGAAGTAGTTAGAATCTGAAACTTACGAAAGCTACGCGCGTTACTAAGCGGTTTATGAATTTGAAGTTTTCTATTACTATAAAACTCTATAATAAGAAAACTAAATTACTATAATAATTAGTACATCGAATATAAAAGTAAAACGAATAGTATTTTCAATATTCTTCTAATCGTTCACTTTATTAAACATTTATTCAGCAACTATTAGTAGAAGATTATTTGAGATAAATATAAATTGTTCTAACTTTTACGATTATATAATCATTTAGAGAAGCTGGTAATTTCAATAACTTGAATTTATTCTAGTATAATTTGATCTATATTACTTATCGAGATTAAAGATCAACGTAATATAATGAAAAAGTTATTAAAAAGTTATAAGATGATTAAATTAGAAGAGATACTTATTTAGTATATCTCTAATATAAATAATAAAGAGTTTTATATAAATATAGATAAGTAATCTTTGTCACGGGATCACTTCTGGGAGTATTCAGAAGCTTTACCGCTGAGCTAAACGCCCAAAAGACTAGGAGGTAGAACTGGAAGTTCTATCTTACTCTTACATATATAGCAGGACAGGACAGGAAGGGCTTAGTGTCACCCCGTGACAATCTTATGTTATTAGACTACTATGATTTTCTAAGCTGAAGGACTAGTCTTTTTTATATATAAATTATATCTCTCTATATATTTTATTTATTTATTTATTTATATTAATTAACATCTGTTTTGAATCTCTCTAGGGGTATTTAGATATACTAAGATAAGGAACTATTTGAGCAGCGTGATCGTTGTGATTGAATTTAGCAATTTAATTTTAATATTAGGGGCTATTCGCTTCTCTGCAAATACGATCCGCTTTTGTTTCTAGAAGAATATATTTGATTCGAGTTATTATTAAAATGAAGCTTGGTTTCTAGATGGGTAGACTCGTTATAGGCTTTAATTTTTATAATGGAGGAGAAGAAGTAAGAATGGATTGCTATTTGTTTAGTCGAGTAATAAGACTTTTATATTATATCTTGAGTTTATGATTTTTAGAAATAAAATGAATTTGAATAATTAGTTAAATAATAGGTTTATAAAAGAAGAGGGAGGATAATGGGTTTTATTGAAAAGATGATTTCTTCCTAAGGATCCTTTAATAATTAGAACAAATCTGTATATAAAACTCTAAATCGATAATTAGCTAAATAAGCTTATTAGATATATATAAAAGTTTCTTACAAGTCGACTAGTAGAAGAACTAATATATAGAGTATTAATAGTCATTATAGATAGTATAAATAATATCTTTCAACGACACACAATATACTCCTTATTTATTTCCCCTGCCCCGGCAGGCTTAATCCTATCAAACCTTATACTCACAGAAGGCTCTCATTATACTGATAGCGATATACGCCTTTAGTGTACCGAGCGATTTCTTAATCTAAGAGGTGCTCCCTCTCTAAGCAATTATTAATATCTTAGGGGTTGATATATAGCCCTTATTAATTATAAGATTGCTTATAGGCTTTATTCTTAATATAATCAAGAAATAATTTGAAAGGATTAATAAGATAAAAGGGAAGAGATAGAAAATGATTAAGGTATTTGTAGTACTAATAGATAAACTTGTATAAGGATTCCAAGGCTAATAATGTAAACTCACTGTGAAGTTTAAGAATATGATTATTTCTATTCTATTAGAAGTAACAGAGACTATTCTTAATTAAGGAAGAAAGCTTGTAACAAAGTAATTATAGTCAGAAAGCAATATATAGAAAACCTATATTGATGTACTGAAAACTCAGATAAGGCTTGAGGCAGCAAGCCCTATCATAGACTCTACTAATATAATACACTTTGCTTCTAATGGAAGTACGAATACTAAATGCTTGGGAGTATGTAAACTTAAAAAGAAGAATGATTGAATCGAGAAAACGATTCTTATAATAGCTGGTGGGGAAGCTCTGCTTTTAGAGACTAGCCCCTTTCTGTTAAGACTTAGAATAAAAGAGATAGTTACTGGGATCATACTAATAGAGATTCCTTTTTTTTAAAGGAACAATATAGGCTGGATATTAAGGTACAGCTTTAATACTAATTGAAAAAAGATTATGAAAACAGAAAATGTTGAGTGGATATTTAAAACCCTTTATGTAATAAGTATATATAGATTAGAAAAATGATTTATATATATAGTCCTATAAGTATCATACAATTTCTATTATATCAAAAATGCTTTTACTCCTATATCTACTAAGCTTATCAAGAAGAAGATTATAGCTCAAATTAGCAAACAGTTAATCAACTACAGATTAATATATAACAAGGTCAACCCGATTACTAAAAGAGCCATTTAGATCATTAACTTTAATATTATAATATCGCGATTCCGATTGTTTAATAATAGTTTCTACTCAATTCTTCTAAACAAACCCTAGGAAATTCAATTTTACAATACTAGTTGCCTAGAGTACTATAACCCCTTTATCTGTAATAAAGCCTCAAAATGCTCGATATGCGGTAAACTAAATATTGAGTATAAAGGTATATTTGTATATTAATAATACATTAAAGTAGCTTAATATACTAATTGTTATGGGCCCTTCCACACTGGTTATTTCAATTACCTAGTTGCTTTTAGAATCTATACTAAATAATAGATTGTTCTAATTATAAAGGAATTGGCTGTAATCAGAGCTATTAGCAGAAAAGACTATGAAATACTGTATAGAGTAAATACAAACAAAGCAAATCATACTTCTAAATTACTTTTGCCTTCTAGAGTAATAATCGTAGAAACCCTGATTACTCCAAGAGCAAGGATTATAGTGTATAAAAATAAACACCTTAGCAAATATCCATATAGGCTTAGTATAAGTCTGTCAATCATACCAATCATATTTATTTATTTATTTATTTATTTATAGTGATTAACATCTATTATCTGACCTCCCAAGGGGTATTCTAGATGTACTAAGGAGCGGGCCTACGGGCCGCTAGTGTTCCAGCCGCTCATAGTAGTGTAATGTTAGTTAATCAGGGGCTTGTTGCTTTTAGTATTCCCTTGTTTAGTATTGCTTATGGCGATCCTGTGGCTGTTCTGTCTAAGGGTTTGTGGTTTTGTTTCAGAGAGTCTTGTTTTATATACTATCAATAATTAATGGGGTTCAAATAATCGTTTGTCAAAAACGTTTATATACAGAATCTATCTGGTGGGAAAAGATGAATTCCTTTCTCTCTGCTGATTATAAGGAGTGGTCTCCTAGATATAGTATAAAGAAGCTAAAGAAACTAATTCTATTAAGAGTAGTTTTATATCGACTAATAGTTATAAAAATAGATCACAACGATTACACCACTTATCATTAGCGATTTGGTTATCAAAATAATAAGTTAAACTGCTCATACAGCAATGCTAAGGAACTATATCATTTCTTTAAATACACTATAAACAACCTAAAGTGTTCAGACTAACCCCTTGTTCTTATAGAAATACAATCTAATAAGCAGATGATTATATATATCAAGAAACTCTTACATATACCTAACAAGCTTACTCAGCTGATCACCGACTCAGAGTTCTATACTCAGATTTGTTTTAATTACTAAAGAATCCTTAGAAAGCGATAATCTTTTCAATAAAGCTTGTTACCCACTCCTTATAAACTTATCACTCAATTGATCACTCGAATATACTACACCTCTAAAAACTGCAAACCCAATATATAACACAAGAGCCCTGTTGCTCGGTTAAATAAATAGTAATCCATTTTCATTTCTTTTTTTTATCATAAGGATCGAAGTCTATAACAAGTCTATTCATTCGGAAACTAAGCTCTACCTCAACAATAATCTGGATCAAATATTCCCTTCTAGAAACAGAAGCGGATTGTACCCGCAGAAAAGCGAATAACCCCTGGCATTGAAGTTAAATTACTAAATTCGGTTGCAACGATCACACTGTTCAAATAGTTTCTTATCTTAGCATGTCTAAATACCCTTAGGGAGGTCCAAAACAGACGTTAATTAATATAAATAAATAAATAAAAAATATTATAGGTATTTTGTATATCCATTATTACTAGTATAATCACTTTGCTAACTGCTAAAGCAAGCTCGATATTATGAGTGAAGATAGCTGTAAGATCAATACCAGCTCTTTTTAATAATACTCTATAATACTAAAGGCTGATAACATTATATCTCATAGCCATTCATATAATTTGATTAGTGATATACCTTTCTAATCCTTTTCCAATACATAATATTAATATAATCGGTCTTTATAATCTCAAGGACATTCTATCCTTCTTATCAATCTTGGGTAGTATAATTATTTCAATGAGTTTTTACTTATTAGAATAATAGCTAAGTCTAAAACAAACTACAAAAATCTTATATATTATACTCTTTATACTAAATCAATATATCTTAAGAAAGCAAATAGTTATCCAATCAATTCTAGGTAATATACTCCTGACTTCTATTATATATTTTTTCATTTCCTTTATAATAATTATTCTTTTCCATAATAAGATTATCTAGCAACCCTATTCCTATAGAAGATCGTACTATAGATTATCCAATACTTTGAAGTGATTGAATATCATTATAAAGAGTACTTTAGCTTTTTTTCTAATATTAATGATCTTCTGGTTATTGATCACTAGAGAAGAGGCCTTAAGGCTTACTTCTGGGGTTAGCTTGTACTAATTCATGATTTTGTATAATTCCTAATTATTCTATACATTATCCAAGCGTTTAGTCCAATAAGCTCATTTCGATACTTATACAATTTTTTGTAAATCCTATTGAATAGTTGTCATTTTATCAGCAATTCTAGTTCTCCTGACTTGTATATATATTCGGTATGCCTTCTTACACTTATCAATCTATTATGGAAATAATCAATAAAGTTTACAGCCTTTCTGCCCTATAATTACTACAAAGATGTTTAGTATACTTATAAGTCTAGCAATCAGTCTATTAATATCATAGATAAACCAAAGATTTGAATTCTAAAGGTTTACTAAGCGATTAGCTATTATACCTATTAAACAGGGTAAATCTGAATTGTATATTCGAATGTATATTTATTTGTATTTAGAGATTCCTTTATTCGAGATAGTAGTGACTTGAATAGTGTGATTGAAGCTACTGTGTAGATTGTTATCGATTATTGTTATAGTGATAGCTAGGTTGAAAAAGGTTAGGTTTAGAATATATCCCTTTGTATATATAGGGGCACCAGGAGTCCCGATATACTCTATTCTCTATTCAACAGTTTATTGTATAAGTATATCACCTTGATTAGCAATTGCTATTTCAGGTTCCCATAGATTATATTTAGCATTAAAGTTACCTCCAATAACCATACCAATCCCTAAAGCGATTTCTAGTTTAAGTATATATTCTATTATTAGCAAATCAAACAGGATACAATAAGTATTAAGAATTGAATACCTGTTAATATTGATTTAAAGTAGATTTCTATTTCCAATTTGCCTTATTTATCTAATCTTCAAATTGCCTTCTTTTCGTATATAGATAATCATTTATAGTCTATGCTTAGAACTATCAATTGCCCCCTAGATATCAATTGATTAATATCAATTATATACAATATGATTTTGGATTGCTAAGTTATTATATAGTCAGAGTTCTTGGATATAGATAATATCTATATCAGCTTTTCCAGCAACCTATAGAAGAATAATATGATTAAAGTATTCGCACCTTATATTCGTTTATACGATTGTAAGCCCCCTTCTCCCTATTGAGTTCGCACTAGTTATACAACTTATACAAAAGTGATAACAGCTTTATCAACATTTGACTCACTCCCTTTACTTATTTTAGGATCGGGAGATGAAAAGGCTTTTTCAGTTATAACTATTATATTATAGTTTATCCCTTTATTAGCATAACATAAAGGGTTATAATTTGGGATGTAAATCGAATTATTGAAGGGGCCTTTCCCTAATCGGATCTGTTTGAATAATCAGTTTACCAATTGCTATTCGTTTTTATAAACAGTAATACAAACTCTTGGTGCAGGAGGTCTGAGGATAATCATTTAAGACTATTTATTTAGTATTATAATAGACACTTTTCTCTTGTATATTTTCTAGGTTTCTTTTCAGCTAGTGATTCTGATTTCCTTTATTTATCGGTGTATAAGCCTAATCAGTTTTCTATTAACTAATTACAGTACCACTAAGCAGTTGTTATATACAAATCGGAAGGGTTCAAGGTATCTTGTATATTGAATATTATTTTGACATTCCTTATGGATCTTTTTGTTGATGTATTTAGCAATCAGTTTGCTATATTTAGAATAGTGTATCGGGCAATAGTATATATACAGATTGCAATATAGCTAGCACCCGTTAGAGTGCTATTGTAATTAGGAGTATTACGATTTATCAAAAGGCTTCAAGTATTCGCTAACATTAAATAATCGGAATGGTTTTATTGGCTTCCTAAAACTAATAATCCAATTGGTTTTTTCTGTAAAAGAATTCATCCTATACTTAGAGATTCTATATTGAATCAGATTCTCTTTTATTTGTATTTTGATTTCTTTTCGAATAATTATATTAAGAAATATTATAAGTATGTTTAATATATTATAAAAGATCTAAGATACAATATAGTTGTATTAGGTTTTCACAGTTTGAATGTTATTTATATTGAGTATAGTAATCAGCTTTATGCAATTATTGTTTTACAAAAGGTTTTTGTAATCCTTTAATATCTTATATTCCAGGGTTTACTCTATTTTATTATAATGAAGTGAAGGGATTAGTTCAAGTCTTAGCCTAGGAATTGCTTCTTTTATTTTCAATCATAATTTGAAAGGGTTATTAACAATCATTTATTATCTATTTCCTATTTTTATAAGGATTATATAATTGTTTCGCTTCTGTTATTCATACTCTTATAATATCTCTATTATCTTAAACACACTCACCTTAATACCCTTCGATACCTAAAGCGCTTTTCTAGCCTTGAATATATTAGTATAGGATTTAGTAGATCTCTCTGTAATTGCTCTTGTGATTGATGCAAAAGCCTTCTATGAAGATCCGGCTTGTTCTGTAGTTTTGATTATATTATCGATATATATAGATCTTAGTTTGTTAGCATAGCTCAATTCTATTTTGTTTAAGGTTTTAATATATATATCAATTACACTCGCGATTTTTAAGATTACTTATTACTTTTCATTCTCTTTATAGAATTGATCGGTTATTATTTTGTAAATAGATTATATATCATCATCTCCCCCCAGATTAGTTATTATTATGATCGTTATTATTGTTGTAGGAACAATCGGGTCGCGACCCGGCACACTCGGCGGCGCGACAGGACACTCATAACCACACATTAACGGTATCATGATAGGCCCCTTGGGCTATTTCTAGAATATATTATAATAAAGTGAATTGTGATAGATTGTCTTGTTATCAATCAATTGGTTCTGATTGAGTAGAAAGAGAAAAGTTTATGAGTGTTTTAAATTTGTATATAATTATTATACAAATTAAACAATCGATATTTTGAACCTTTAGCTCTCAATCCAGAATAGTTCTAAATATCTAAGAATTTCAGAATAAGCTTAAAACAATTTAAATTATCTATATATAAATTTTTATTAAATTATATTATATATTAATAGAGATATTAATAGGCCTAAAAAGTGATTTTTGGTGTGAAAGGGTGGCCCAAAACAGGGGTGGCCCGAAAGTAGAGTGCCCGACTTATTTTTTATAAATAGAACTCTTCTTATATTAGAATTTTTTTCTCAATAAGATTCTTTTTATTCTAATCATACTTTTTATATTAACATAATCTTTTTATATTAACATAATCTTTTTATAGTAAACTAATTCTTTTAAAAATTAATCTTATATCATTTTTATTAAAAAATTTATAACTTTTATTTCTTTTTATATTTTTTAATAAAGCTTATAAAGTATTTTAATGAAAAGTATTTATCTATATTTTATTTAATAAAATAATGAAACAAAATTAATCTAATAAATTAAAATATAATTTTATAATGTTCTGATTAGAAAAGTTAATAACTTTAAGTTTTTTTTACTTTTTTCTAATAAAAATTACAAAGCTTTTTTAATAAAGTATATGCAGCATGACCTAGGTCTGAATGAGAGATAAATTTATTAATAGTATTTAATCAAGCACTCAAACGTCTCTTATGATATTAATTAGAAAGTGGGGTACTTGACTTATTCAATTATAATACGATTTTGAAACCGTGATATAATAGCCGGCCTTTCCTGGAGCCAACTTTTATCTGGGAATCCTTATGTTGAATACAACTCGTAGTGCGTATAATAGACTCGAAAAAGCACGCTACGAACATTACAACGACATGATAACTTCATATACCTCTACTGTGCCTGTCCCCTGGCTGTGTAAAAAGTGTTAAATCTAGTATTGAAAACACAGTGAAAGTTATGTAATTCTAAAATTAGGGTGATGTTGCTCAATTATAGACCTGCGTTAATGGACCTCCCTCCTCTCATGCTGCGCCTGAGGTACGCCGGGTGTTGTGTCCGACACTCGAGAAAGCGATATCTAGGGTCCGAATTATTGAGTCTAGAAATGTTTTCCCGACCATTAGAATATAGATATCAGAGATGTTTGATCTTTACCCTCGTCCGGTTACAACTGTTCAGCTCCATTATGATATGTGGCGAGAGGGCCAGGCTCTTCATGGAAGTCCACAATTCACCACTTGCATATGCCAAGTTCCTTAATTAAGGTTAAATGCATGTTTCATCGAGCCGTAGTGGGCTTTGTGAGTTATCATAGTTGTTTAGTTGTACAAACATTTTATATACTGAGGTCTGGTGTCGATAGACCAATGCTTAATCTGACTGCCAAGACATTTCATTCGTCTTTTTGACAATTCATTCGGAACATGATTTCCTTGGCTATACTATGACCACTTTTTAAGACTACAAACTCACGCGCACCCCCAAGTTTACTATCTTTCGCCTTATCCCGACTCCAAGGCAAATTCGATTCCTCAAGAGCCAAAAAATCAAATTTTACGAAGCATTTGTGATCATGTTGATAAATACTACCCAGAAACTGTGGGAAGGGAACATTTAACCAACCTACAATGACTTGAAATTGGCCTCAGAGGAAAGTTTCGTCTGATTGGTCGAGTGTTGGCCTTGAATAGAAGAATGTTACGTCGGGGACAAATTTTCCGCTTCAGGTCCTATACGATAAAATGGTAAGCTGAAACCCCACTTATAATCACTCCTGCTTGAGAGCTGACGAGCCTTAGATTTTCGTAGAATCCGCTCGTAGTGCTCGAACTCCCACTACTGGTAGTTATTACCCCTGCTGTTCGATTTTATCTGTTCGTATGACAGTTACAACGTTGGATTCCAGCCAGATGAATAGTCGCTGCTACTCAATCGGGCCCCGCGGGGCTTTCTGGGCTGGGTTTGTACACTTCATGTCTTCTACATGGCAAAATATCTATAAATACGAGCCCAGCGATATTCTAACCTACTTCTCGGTATCTACTTCTCGGTATCTACTTCCATTCCTCAAAGATCGTCCTGGCGGTGTATAGTCAACCTGTGCTTTGAAGGGCCATAAATATGAAAGCTACTATCTACACAGGCGACAGGAAGGTGTCAGTCGAAGACCGTCCAAAACCAGTCATTTTGGAACCCACCGACGCTATCGTGAAGGTCTTACATACCACAATATGCGGGACAGACCTCCACATTCTCCAAGGTCACGTCCCGTCATGCACCCCAGGCCGCATTCTCGGTCATGAAGGAGTCGGAATTATTGAATCCCTCGGTGTCGCTGTTAGGAACTTCACCGTTGGCCAGAAGGTTCTCATTTCATGCATCACATCTTGCGGGACTTGTCATTACTGCCGTAGGAAGATGCCGTCTCAATGTGAATCCGGCGGTTGGATTCTTGGAAATACAATTGATGGCACACAGGCTGAGTATGTCCGCATTCCTCATGCCTTGTTCTCGCTACATGAGCTGCCAGAGAGCATCGACTTGAAAGTCGCTGTTACTCTATCAGATACTGTACCAACTTCTTATGAATGTGGTGTCCTGAATGGTGATATTCAACCTGGGTCGACTGTCGCGATCATAGGAACTGGCCCGATTGGATTGATGACCCTCCAAATGACGAGAAATCTGTTCGGTCCATCGATGACGGTAATGGTGGGAAGGGGTAATCCGAGGCTTGAGATGGCCAAGTCCATGGGCGCGGACCATACACTCAGTGTTCTTGACGGACAGGATGATGTGATTGCTTCTGCTCTAGCGGTGACCAAGGACCGAGGGTTCGATGTGGTTATCGAAGCCGTGGGTACCGTCGAATCTTTCGAGATTGCGCAAGCTCTGATAGGCGCTGGTGGGACTATCGCCAGCCTGGGTGTCTTTGGTGAATCGTGCGAGCTTCACCTGGAAAAGCTGTGGAATCGCAATATCTGTATTCTTATCTACCTCTCCTACCTTTATTACTACTGACTCTCTTGATAGGTTTAAGAACTCGACTCATTGATGCTGTTAGTACACCCGATTTGCTCAAGATGGTGGAGTTGGGTAGCATTGATCCTCATTTTCTGGTCTCACACAGTGCGTGTTATACTCTATTAATCCGGGTCCCACTAATTATTGTCCAGATTTCGCATTTGATGAAATCCACGACGCCTACAAGGCGTTTGAGTTATCTTCCAAATGTGGCGCCTTGAAGGTGATAATCACCATGCCCAGGCTTCTTACGAATGGTTCTTCATAGTTTCCTTTTTGATGCTCATTATCTTATTGTAAGAATGAACTCAATTACTTGCATGTTCCAGAATATCCATTAAGTAAATTACACTTCTCCCAGTCTAATGCATAAATACGAGTGTCAAAAATCATACGGAAAATTATTATAATGACCTAAACTTGGAAGATAATTTACTCTCATAGATTTTAGATTATATAATAGATTCTATATCAGAATCTATACTGAACGGAGGGTAGATTCTATAGGAAGGATGTACATTCTATCGGAAGACTGTAGATTCCAGTTATTTTAGAGTTGATTCTATAGGAAGAAGATAGGTTCTATAACATGAGAATAGATTCTAGTTATTTCAGATTAGATTCTATAAATATATTATTTCTTTTTCTTTAAAAATAAAGTTCATTTTCTTTTAGTAAATAGATTCTGTTATAGAATCTATAGGGCATGAGAGTAAGCCAAGTGTGATTTTTAGAGTATGAGAGTAATTTACTTTATATTGTGTGATTTTGAAATTTGAAAATTAATCTAAATTTAAATGTATAGAGGTGATGAGAAAATAAAGACTTTCTATAAAATTATTATTAATGCCGACTACGAGCAAAATCCCCTGAACAGTAGTTAGGGTTAATAATATGACTTTCTGAGTATTCAATTGTATTGTCTGTGTTTTACATCAAGTCCAAGCCTGGGGCTCCTTTCGATGTGTTTACGATCAGATCCCACGAAGACTCGTTCATGATCGTGCATAGGTAAGAGTGGCATGGGCTGCGTGTGAACAAAGTGATTTTGAACTATTGCTTGAGCCAGGTATGGAGTCCGAGATTGTTACGGTTGACCTAATTGAGAGGGTATTTTGAGCAGTAGATGTTTTCTGTATGCTAATTTTGGAAGTTATGGTTGAAAGTGTACGAGTCGAAAAATACAGTGGGTTCTTTATGAACAAATCCAACATAAACTCAAGGGCTTAAAATCTTTGGTCTGACATGATCTGGTTTGTCAAAGTCTGTTGAGGGATCGAAAGCTGACGGGAATCTGATGGCGAATTATCCACCGAGGATATCGGGTCGTTCGAGTTGAACCTAGGAAATTATGCGTAAATGAGGCCTTCTCCAAATGTACCCAGTCCTGCGGCAATTATATCTCGTCGACTTTGTCTGTAAAAGAAATCTGTAATCTTGTGTCGGTGGCCGATTTTTTGCATTGCTGACAGTAAATAGTTCAAATTTCTGAGACCTTGACCGAAAATTTGATCAGACTGCTGATCCTTGATCAAGACACTAGCTGCGACGTAGAGACAAAATCCTGTCCAGGAGTTCAGCTATCATCCAATTAGCGCTATCTAATGGCATAAAAATCAGGTTGATCTTACCAGATCTACATCCACGTTATCTATTTGACGCATAATATTAGTGATTTCCTCTGCAGCTGTAAGAGCGCGAACTTGGCTGTGTCGAACAATGTCTGAACTGATACCATGCTTCATTGCAGCAGCAACAGCCCCCTGATGTAACTTTATTGAAGAAGCGTGAATACTCATGTGAATAAAAACCGTGTTCATATCACCTGACCCGTGCGGAAGTCGTAAACTATCTGGTAGATAGAGAAATGTGTTCAACAAAGCGTTGTCGAGTCGTCGATGGCGCTTCCAAAATTCGCCGTTGTCGATGTCCTCGACGCACTCATTTGGGCTATTGATGTTTAGATGCTCACGATTGTGCTCATATAACTTGCTAGTCAACAAAAGTGCTGAAAATGGCGAGATTTGTCCAAGTCCACTGGGACTAAACGCCTGGGTGAATGGCTTAGTCTCTTCTGCTAGCCCGAACTCAAACGATAATTCTGACACAGGAAGATTTGTTGATATCTGAAGAGAAAGTTAGTTGGTTAATGCGATAAAATCATAATTCATACCTCATTCTCATTAATAGTAGTAGGCTAACCTGTCAGGACACTAGCCCATCGATCCCCATAAAACGCCGTCCAGAAAGTCCTTCGGCGTTCTTCAAGCTCTGTCCAATCTTGCGCTGGAGGCAACACTTGTTTAGCGTCTCCGCGTTCCACGTCGAGAGCATAAAGACCCAGCATTTGCACTAAACGCACAGCTCTTCCGACACTCATCCATGATTGAGAAAAACGCGCGTTCTTTGCCTCGAGCATTGCAATCAAGCACCAAGTTTGGGCATAATATACATTCACAAAGCCCTCGCCCTAGAAATTAATCAATACTACATCAGCATGCTCCACTATTGGTAACTAACCTTCATCTCTGATGCGTCTAGGTATCTTCGTGCACGTTTATAAAGGAGATCTTCGAAGCTCTTATACTTCTCTGACAATAATGCGGCACTCGCCCATATCGCGTACCTCAAACAGATTGGTGGCCGCGCAAGCGGTGCTCGAGTTAATGATCTATAATACCGATATTCATGAATCATAGGCATAGAAGGGTAGAATTTGGTGAAGAAGATATGATGTCTGTAAAGCTGTTAGCTACACGCAGGTCTACAAGACAATTAGGACCAAACAGTTCATCAATGAGCTCTTGTGGGGGCAAAGCTTCCTGCAAGCCTAGCTCGATCAATTCTTGCCCGGCAGAGCTCCCGAGCGGTGTCGAAGCTTCTTGTGATGAGAGCACTGTTACGTCTAGGTTGAATTCGAAAGACGAGTCTAGGCCAAGATCACCCGAGCCCGTCACCGTAGCAGGTACTGTCGGCGTATTTTCGTGCTCATCTGAAATGGCACCAGCCACAACACTTACTGCAGCTTGTCAATGAATTGCCTCTTGATGTGAACAATTAACGTACCCGGTCTTGGATCTTTCTCCCTCGTAGATTGACTCTTCCGCGCTATAGGTTTTTTGCGTTCTGGGTACTCGCATCTGTGTTGAAGCCTAGTGCAAGTATCACATTTTGGCTTTGCGCGATTGCATTTCAATTTACGTTGTCGACAAGATTGGCATGCAATTTCAGAAATCTCTAGGCTACCACCTGCAGCTGAAAAGGTTATCATATCTTTGTCTAGAGGAAAGTCTGACTTTCTAAATCTACTTTACGCGGCTGTTGTTGTCGAGAGGCCAACTAAGAGACGGAGGAACAATTGAATCAGATTTCGAGGGTGAATATCAATAAGTGATTAGGTCTGTAGTCAACACAATACTGGCCAGGAATTATGGTGTGCTGGGAATGAATTGCGTAGAAAAATTCAAACAATCTTTCTCGCGAGATCCAAGTGAACGTAAGGTTCATAGATCAAGGTCGGCTTATAAATGATTAGCAGAATTACAAATCTTTCAGGCGGTTTATAACGTGACTGATCATTTAACCTTATTGGGCCACTTGGTTTGACATGCAAGAAAATCGCTGTGCGCTAACCTTACATCTCCAAAACGGAAGATCTTGTATTATAGCTTCTTGGGCTGCATCTCAACCTTTGCCCTGTACAATGTATATGCTTTTTTTTAATTGAATTTTGTTATGCCGAGGTCTACCCGTTCTCCCCGTGATACCAAGTCATGATGTGAGTCAAAATCACTCCCTTGTTGTTATTTTTTTCCTTTTATGCGGTCACTTAAAACACAATCGATCAAGAATTACTCACTCCTAGTGAATTTCGAGGAAACATCGTTTATTAACGGATCGTAAGATTCGCACAATGTACCTTGACGATTAGTTCGCTCAGCCACACACGTGACTCACATTCTGCGCAGTGGAGTCGGGACCTCGAGTCATTATCTCTCCTCAGCCTCAGCTCAAAATTTTAAGGACAACCTTGGAACGTGGCCACGCTTCACTCGATGCTGCATACTTTCTGGCCGCCCGAGTACTAGTATTAACAAAGATGTCTGCGGAGGCTAGAAATACTGGCAAATGATTTTAACGGGCCCGAATTATAACAATGGAACTTTTTTTGGGCTGGCATTTCTCTTATTCAAGCCAAAAAAAAAAAATACCTTGTTCTTCAATAGCTAAGAAATTCGAGGCTCATCGTGAGGTGCTTTTAGATATTTCTCTTTTCCCACGAAGTCAGCCAAGATATGTGATGAAGGTGTGTCGAGAGGGGACCCTTTTACTGCTTTTTATGTGTGGGCAAAGCTTGTAACTTCTTTCGACAGGACTTATAGCCCAAGGTAGGAATTTAGGGCTCCAGAAGTAGAGTGTAGAAGATGTTATGGAAAGGATTCTTAAAATTAACTATGTGTAGCTCCGAGGCTGTCGAGGTTATTTACTAAATCTATGGAAACATTTGCCCATACTCTATCTTTATAACTCCTCTCTACAAGTTTTCTAAATCCCTTAAAGACTGAGAAAGTTGCAATTTGGCAGATTGAAGCGGCGACATCAGTAGCCAGTAGCGGCAGAGATAAATGGTAGGCAGATCGAAAACATAATTTTATTATTTTCTAATTATGGTTGTGAAGTAGCAATGGGCAAAGAAAACTACTATGACGATTCGGGAAACTCGCTGATAAAAAGTGACCTGACTCTAGATTGAGATATCTGTCTTGTCAAGGGGTGATACGATCCTGTGGCAGACTGAGAACAGAATTATGCTGATAGGGTGGAAAGCCAAGATTGGTAGTGGTCTCGAACGACGCTTTCTACCGGGCGATATACGAGGCCCAATTCTCGGACGCTTTTCTGGTTATTGACCTTGTACCCAATGCCAATGTTCGCGCATACCCATTTCCATGAGAGTCCCATGAAGGGACCGACAGCATACAGCATAACCTTGGGAAGATTCTTCTTGGGAAGTAAGCTAGGTTGTTTGTGTATCGGCCTAACTAGGTTTGCCTTGTCTAAGATGCTCAAGCTGTGATCACCAGCAATTATATATCTTCCGTTCGCATTGGGAGTCTCCCCTGCCTTCACGTGTGCCTCTGCAACATCTCGTACATCCGCAATGGGATATTGAAGCTCAGGTGCACCCATCTTGTTCTCACCACGGTATATATTCTCGATCATGAATAAGGATCCAGACGCTGACTCGGGTGATAGAGACGGTCCAAGGACGAGTCCAGGGTTTATAACGACCATGTCCCAGCGGTTTTGCGCTTTCTGCATCTTCCAGGCCTCACGCTCGGCAATCATTTTCGAGTAACTGTATGGATTCTCGGCGGCGGTGCTTGTGACATTCCAGTATGTTTCAGCAAGGGTCGAGTCTTTCATCTCTAGCACATCTGCACTATCACCGTAGATTGCTGCAACTTCGAGGAGTCAAATGTCAGCTAAAACACGGTTTCGAGCAGGGAGAAAATCCTTACTGGATGATGTGAGAACGACACGCTTGACAGTTTGGGTCTCATTGACGGACTGAAGGACGTTCTTGGTGCCTTGCAGAGCAGGTTCGATGCAGTCTTTCATCCCGTCCTTGATTAGCTGTGGGACGAGGAACGGCAAAGCTATGTGGTATACTATATCGCAGCCTGTCATGGCGTCCTTAAAAGAGCCATTTGTCAGAAGATCGGCTTCGAACAAAACTAGTTGTCCCGGATACTTGTTTTGCAAATCTAAAAGCGGCTTTAGCTTTTGACTGTTCTTCAGGCTGCGGACAGTAGTATGAACCAAATGGCCACGCTCAAGAAGTATCTTGATGGTATAGAGACTAATGAAGCCCGTCTCACTAGTAAGTCGGTTACTCTACTTTCGGGCCACCCCTGTTTTGAGCCACTTTTCGATTACTTTTTATATCAAAAATGAAATTTCTAACTTTCTTATTTATAAATAGAATTCATTGAAATTTATATATATATATAACTCAGATTGTTTTGAACTTATTCTGAAATTTTTATATTTTTAGGATTTTTTTATATTGAGATCTAGAACTTTAAAATATCGATTTTTTAATTTATATAGGAATTATATACAAATTTAAAAGTATTATAAAATCTTTAATAACTTTTTAATAAAAATTACTAAAAATAAATTATAAAATTTTATTATAAATTTATAATATATTTTATCTAAAAAATTTAGAAAAAAAAGAAAATTTCTTATAAATAAATATTTAAAGGAATATCTTTAAAATAATAGAGATTATTTACATTATTTTAAACTCATTATATACTATATCTCTATATCTATTAATTTTTTTGAATTTTTTTTTGAATTTTTATATAAATTTGAATTGAAAACTTTCAAAAAGATATATAATTTTCTTTTAATAATTATTGTTAAAAAGTTATTAAAGATTTTATAAAATTTCTAAATTTGTATATAATTATCATACTGTCAAGGTACGGGTAAAGACTTATATTGTACCATAAGGGTAGAAGAGCTATAGAAGGGTAAGGCCCTACTTATAGGAAGTAGAGCATACTAATAGTCTATGCCTGAGGCACGAAGGCAACATAGTTGTCATCGTGACAGTACCCCTCTCTTAGGGCTTGCTTGTTCCAAGCAAGCTAAAATACGATCCGGTTAGTTTTGCCAACTTTCGGCAAAGTTGTAATAGGGAATTAATCTATCAGGCTAGTTTATTATTATGTTTAAATTAAATAGATAGCGAATTTGATCGAATAAGAATCTAGTTTCTTTTAAAAAGAGTTCAAAATCTTTCGAGGTAATACTAGAAAACTCTGATTTCTATTATAAGATTAAAATAAACTTTTTTAAAACCTATAATCAACTAATAATCCTTTCTTGATCTACTCTATTCTTATTTTGGAATTATATTTAGTGCAGAATTATTTGAGGTAATAGGCCTTTTGAACTCTATTTATACAAACAGATTGTCACGGTGTGAGATCACGTGACATATTAGTCCCCTCGAAGGGGACCGAATTGGGCGCTCGCACCAGAACACAAATAAGCTAGGGCCCGATCGGGCTAGTTTGCTTAGCAAAATTCTGTATATCTTTAATTTAAAAGATTCTGTATTATAGCTTTTTAAGCTACATCTTAATCCTCAATCTGAACCTATTATCCAAATCAGTATAACCTTATCAGATTAGAACAAAGTTATTAGAACTCTATTCTGTCCGCCTGCCCCGTAATACTACATAGCTCCTATTCATTAAAATATTGCTTTTGCAATAACTGCTCCGCACCTGCCTGGCTGGTTTGGGGACTCCTTAGAATTTGGTGTTTCTGTATTGGAGGACCCCCAGGTTTAGTATTAATACCTCCAATCGGTATTTGTGTATTATGCTGAGTTGGAAAAGATTAATAAATTGTTTGAATACGAAATTTCCGAATTCCTAGTCCGCAAATATATTCAAGCTACTCTATACAAGCAGGTTACTATTCAAAATGCTTGTTTATTCAATCGCCTTACCGAATCCACACCTACTATATCTACTCGTTTGGAAACCATATCCCTTGAAACTCTTGCTAACTTTATCCTTGAACTTATTGTATCTATTCCAACCATTCGATTGAATGAGTGTATCCCCGATCTGAAAGAGTTTGATAGTATTTGCTCCGATCTGTATAAATTTGTTTAATAAATATACAGAAAATTGAATGCAAATAATAATAAATTCCTAATAACTTCTGTTTGTTTGATTTATATTGTTAAAAACTTATTGGAAAGGTATATAAGCTTATATTATCTAAGATCTCCCATGGAATTTCTCAGTTCATTGACTATACCGTATTCCTCGAATATCTCGAAAACGTTTTTGGGGATTCTGATTGAATATAAAACGTACAGAACAAACTATATATATTAAAGTAAATTGATTGATTGATTTAATTAACGTCCACCTTCAGTCTATGACTATCTAGAACGGCTAGACTATAGTGGTCTAGCAGGTAAATTTTAAAGTACAATAATTGGAATAGTGTACTAGGGGAAATGAAAACAAAGGTTGGGGTCTTATACCCACTATTATATGTAGTTCATATAGTAGGTTTTTTTGAAAGGAATAATCTCCCTTTTCATTCTTCTCTCTCCTCTCTTTTTTCTTTTATCTTTTTTTCCTTTAATTTACGAATTACTCTTTCTCCCTTACTAATCGTTTCCTCCTTTTTTATTGTTTTGTTTTGGATATTGGCTCTAGCTAAATGCTAGGTTCGAGTTGTGATTTTAATTGTATTGATGAATTTGATTACTAGTTTAATCCCTATTGTTGTATGTAATAGAAATTGATGGTTTAGATTGATAATGGGAAGGTCCTCAAAGATCTCTTTTTTTCTTTTGAATATATTGGGTATCTAAAGAGAAGGTGTGGAATTGTTTCAATAGCGTTGTAAATACACTTATTATTCGAAAGTTTGAAACGGTATAGATATGATTTGAGATACCTATAGTTTAATTTGAGTTGGAAGAATGTACTAACGATATTACAAATTGTGCCTTTTAGAAATTTGATCTTGTTTCCTAATTTCTATGAGTATAATTTGGAATAAGTATTATTGGATTGTTCTGGTCGATAATTGTATTAATCGAGGAATTCTCTTCATTGATTTATATTATATTTCTTGATAATTATATCAAGTAAACCAAAGCTAGTATTATTTGTAAAAGGCTATATTATTATAGCTTCCTTAACTAGTTTATTTGCTAGCTTATTTCCCTATATAGTTGTATAGCCTGGAACCCAATTTAGTGAGACTTCAGCATCTGCAGCTTTAATTGCTTCAGTAGCTTTTATAGCTTATATCTAATATATCTATCCTGGATAATCTGAGGGAGTCTTTAGACAATAGAGTCTAGCTTAATTGTTAGAATATATTTTGTATTTTTGGTCTTCATATACTAATATACTAGCATATTCTATTGTCTTTATTACTTTATATAATTCTCCATTATATACTAATTAATTAAAAACCAATATTGATACACTCGAAACATAGAATCCGGTTATCTAATAAAATTGCAATAAAACTTACTCCTATATCTATATCTTTCTCAGTCAAGAAGGTATTTGTATATATATAAATTGTATTTTTATCTTTATACTTAAAAATAATATTATATAATATAGCTATATCCTCCTTCAAGACTTTACTGATATTGACTTTATAAGGAATATCTCTTTTCCAAGGTAGGAAGTGGAAATAAGAGATTTCTTCAAGTAATAAGTGATTTAGATCTTATTGTATTGATTTTTTTATTCTATTTAATTGAATTAACTTATATTATTTCCTTTTTAGAGTTTATATTGCTTAATGATTATTGTAATATTAGAGTAAAGCTTCCTTTTTCTTATTAATTAAATAATTAGGTAAGATTTTGACTAAACAAAAGATATATTTCCTAATATTTGAGTCTAGTTGGATAAGAATGGGTTTGAGATCTGCTTTTGCTTTTATTGGTTAGATTGAGATTATTTTAAAAACTCTTAATATCTTTTGAAGAGCTAGATTCTGAAATAATTAAAAAGTATTTTTGAATTAACTTATTATTTTTATTAGATTATTGAACTATAATCTGCTATACTGATTATACAAGCGATATAGAGCTGTCTCATAGCTTTAGAACTAAAGCCTCTTTCTATATTTGCAAGTTATGCCATACATTGAAAGACTCCTTTTGCTTGTGCTGTTCTAATATTGATATATTGATCAAATTTAAGATTCGGATCGAATTATATATCAAGCTATCTAAACTAGAGCTTATAATTCTATAACTTCTTAATTGAATAATATAATAGGATATTGAGTTGTTAGTTCTGATAAGGAGAAGTATATTAATTTTGTTTTGGCTAGATCAAATTGAATTGTATTCTTTAAGCTAAGTTTATATAATTGTTTTGTAGCTCTTTCTAATAAATTGATATTCTTTTTCCAAAAGATAGAATTGAATATAAGTGTAATATCGTTAATATAGGATAAAAACTTAATTGAATTGTATTGAAAAAGGTTTTGAATATATATTAAGAAAAGGATTAGCGAGATTAGGTTTCCTTGGAGTATTTCTATAGATATTGGCTTGAAGGTTTCTATTTGATTATTGAAGGATAGTTTTAATTATCTGTGACGATTCAGTCCCTTTCAGGTTCCTTTCTCAGTCACTTAGCTTCTAGGACCTTAGCCTAGCACGTGACTCATTGGTGTATATAGTCCGGAGCCCTTACAGTTCTCTTCTTATTCTTTTCTTCCTTCTTTAGTTTTAGATTCTAAGGTAGAATTGAATCCTTTTATGATAGTCCTTTACATTATCTAAAACTCACCTATACAAGCCTCTGCCGGTGACGGCATACCAAATAATATCTCACCTTTTCCTAGGCCACCTAAGTATCGATATTGCGTGGATTAGAAGAACCTATATTAGAAGACAAGGAAATGTTTCTGAAGGATGGTTAATCAACAACAATCCTCTAATCCTTATATCAATTCTTCAAGAAGATCGAAAAGAGTTGTAAAGAAGTGTATCCAAGCTTTTCCTTACGATTTCGAAGAATCCAGTATGATCATAATCTTTCAAAGCAAAGGATTATTGCGTACTCCTCCTCCTCAAATAGAAACTAGCCTTTTCATTTCAATCT